TGCTACCTAATACTGATAATGCTAACCCAAATTGAATTACTTCCAATGGAAATTAAACAAATGTTGGTCCAAAATGTGATTTCCCTATATAAACTATAGTAAAGTTTACCCCCTCCCCAGGGGGAAACGTGAGACCCCAGGGTCAAGAAATTCACAATTTTGGTAAAGCACCTTAAGGCCCTTCCATCTATGAAGAGTATTTCATTCTACCATATCTGGGTCTTCAGAAGAAGATTTTTGAAATTTTAGTCAATTTGACCCTTTTTGGCTCCGCCCCTCAGGCCCCTGGGGGCTTGGGACTAAACCGGCCACTATTTTTGTTGACCTTTGTCCATGGAAGGTTCCTGCAAAATTTCATTGAAATTGGTTCCGGGGTTTTGGAGAAGAAGTCGAAAATGTAAATTGTTTACGGACGCACGACGGACGACGACGAACAAAAGGCGATCGCAATAGGTCACTTGAGACTGTCTCAGTTGACCTAAAAATGCTAGTATAATAATAATGGTAAGGTAATAGTGGACAGTGATTATAATTATTTATCAATATACATATACTATCAGAGACACCTCTGGTCCGATACACATTCACACATAAAAAAAAAGTTGATAACGGACCACAATGACAGACATCCTGGCCATATAGATTTCCGTTGCTCAGTCTCCTGTACCAAAATGGTCTCTACGAAACTTTTTAATGGAGAATTGGACATCGCACACTTGGGGAGACCAGAGACGTATTATAAGTCACTAGGGAGTATAAGTCTCTGGGGAGACCAGAGACGTATTATAAGTCTCTGGGGAGACTGATCAGCAATACAGCCTAGATTACACTGCCAGTATTTTAATTGACTTTCTTTATATCATTATGAAACCAAATCGTGTGACAATTACAATAAGCGGGCCCCATAAGTAATATATTCTTTTAGCACCCGTTAGGGTTAGATTGGTCTTTTTCCGAACAAAATTGCTCTGTGGAGCTGCCATCTTAATTCAGCCTGATTAGCACAGCATATATAGGCCGCGCTAATTGCGTGTCAAGGGAAAGGTATGAAAACGTTTGCCGTTTTTAACAAAAAGACTACTTAAAATCTTGTAAGGTGAGCATTTATTCCAATATAATAACCAATAAACGACTTTGTCGCACCTCTGACTAGAGTGCCGTTAATTCATTGACCACTTGCCCCCATCCTCGACCATCTTGCCGTTCACCCCTCATTTTCCCGTCAGGGGGTTAGTAACAACAGATAGAAGTATTGACAAGCGACCACGTGGTATTGTCTGTCGATATTTGACACAGTGTCATGGTAACTGTACACATTGACCAATCGATGCCACCTGTGACTCTGGCAGGCCCTGGTTAAAATGGCGCGAAACAGGCCCCCTGATTTACGTGTATTTCCTGTCTGACTGACAGGGTATTGCTGTGAG